ATCAGTAGGCAAGGTGAGTGCCAAGCATGTTAATAATGGCTGCTAATCATTTACAGCCCAACATATTAATTGGTGGGATATGCAAGATAAAAAAAGAAGCAAACTTTTTTAAAAAATGGGTTGGTGGCTCCAAACTTCCCAGAAGTTCTGTTGTTCATGTGGTCCATCTCTCTCTTCATTTCTGGTGCACGCAAAGCATTTAGAGAATGAAACTTTATGATTGTGAAAAGCCCCATTCTGTCAGCAGAACAGACTTTTTGGGACTGAACCACTTCTGGTGCCCTTGCAATGGATGGCCTTGGGGTTCAGGACTAACTATTGGGTCCAACACATACAGATCTAGCAATCTAGAAATAGCTGGAAGGTTCAGCACAAATGACCGAGACCTGCAGCTGTCTGGGCCACTTGGCACATTTGCCTAATGCCATGGGCAGCGACTCCTCCGTGCGTGAAAGAATCATGACAAAATTAGCAACATATATCAAACTTTTTCTGTTGGTTAAAAGAGGCAGCGTTCTTCAGATGTCAGCTCTGATGTTCATCTGCAGAGCCCCCAAGTAGTAAATCAAGGCATGTGCTCTACATCTACATTCCATAGCACCTTTTCTATCAAATGTGGTTATTTTGTTTAATAGTCTTCATTTTACAAAGAAACATGTCTTTTTACTGGAAACTAAGGTAGAAAAGAGCAAAGGCTCCACATTTTGGAAAGGTAGAGAATGAATAGAATCTATAATTGCAATTGTTTATTAGTACATATGGATACGTGAAAATTATCCATCAGTGGTATTTTTGTGTGAAGTCTATACCCAACAGTAATAATTTCAGACCTTAATGTGGAAAACTCTATCAGAAATAAAACTTAATTGTAAAAGAGCTAAAAACAGCATAAGTTAATAGTTCCAAATGTTGGTTGCACAACATTGGATAGATCTTAATTAGATTGTCCTTATGTCTGCCCAGTTTTAAAACAACTGTAAGTTTTTACAGTGAAAGGAAGCCTAACCCAGGGCTGTAGAGACACTGTGGGCTTTATGTGTTGTCATCTCATTGGTGTGTGATGTCACTTGTCTTACAGGAAGCTTCATTTAGCTGAAATTGTTTTCAAAGATCATTTATCCCATACCGATTCCCAACTAGATTTCAAAATGGATGCTTCTAAGTTATCTTCTCTTTTTTAGGGCTTGCCTATTGCTTTTTTTCAGATATAAGAACATACTGTACAGTCTAGTGTGGGAAGGAAATCTTCCTCCTGCCATACCATTTCCCTCCCTCCATACAGTCTTTCTGCCATAGTCAGGGCAAAAGGTTAAAAATTACAGTTAGAATGGGCTCAATACAAAGATTAAAATGCAGCAGGAAGCCCCAGTCTATTTGGGTGAACATTCCTTTCAGGCTGACCTTAACCGGAGGTCTCCTTGATTAAATAAGAAAAGATCCTTTCCTCAAGAAGATCACCATTTCAGTCAGCAATGCTAAACAAGTGGAGACTGTGACTCAGCAAGGTGCCTGACTGCAGAGTGTTCCCTCTCGGAACACCGGCTAAGTGCATTTTCTTGGAATTCCTAAGGGGCAGCTTTTGTGCACTTTTGAGGAACAATAGCAAGGTTTCCCTATATAAAGGGCTTTTGAGGAAGACTCAGTGCGGCTGCCTCCAACAGCTGACTCTGTACATTGCACTCTCAGAAATAAACCTCACCTCTGATTCAAGCAACTACCGGCATATTTTATTCCTGGCTCAGAAACCAACCTGGTATGATTTCCTTCTTCACTAGGTAAGAAAGCTTTTGAACTGTTCATAGATGAAATGTAGAATTTTTGGGACTTAAATAGAGACTGAGTGTCATTGGCAACCTGATGGATCAGGGCGCAAACTCAGACTTGCACATTCTAAAACCAGGATCTTCAAATTATTCCCAGTTTGAACCAATTGATTTTCCTTGTTGGTAGGTTGGTGTTTAAAAAGCTCTACAGAGATATTTAGATTCCCAGTGCTCTGAACTGGACTGGCATTACTAAAATGCAAGAAACTGAGTAATGGGATCCCCTGTCTAGTTTGGACATCCATGGTTTCCAGATTTTTGTATGGCTACAGAAAATGGGTTTATCAACTATGCCAGACAGGCTTGTTTTCTCAAAGGTAGATCTGAATTTGAAATTACTTCCAACCTTCCCATATCAGTGTTGCTGAAAAGCAATTAAAAAAAAAAAACCCTGGCAGGAACACTCCAATGATTTGAAGTGGCTAAAATGAAAATAGACAGTCTTGTAGAGAGTAATCATTCATTCGCCCACCTCCCTCACCCTTTCCTCTTTCCTTCTTTTGTCAAGGGGAGATAGTCATGGGCTATTTACAAGCTATTCATTGACCACAGCCAGCTCCAAGGCAGATGGAGCAGACAGATTAAGGTGCCTGAAGGTGCGTCTTGCCCATATGCAGGCTTGCTCATGCCGCAGCTGTTTGGCAGCTACCTTTATTGCACCATGTTGCTGCACTGAATAGACCTTTAAGGACTGAAATGTCCTGGCTGGTATCTGCCTTGCTGCATTTTTAATTAACAGTTTGGCTTGCACTGAGGTAGTCTTGACTGGAACTGAGGGGATAAAAAAGGTTGAGGCCACCTCTTTTTGACACTGTTTGAGCCTTCTCAGTAGCTGTTCTAGTCCTTTGGAATGCACTCCCTGTGGAGTTGAGAGGGTATCCTCTCTGCTCACATTTTTTTAAAGGCTCTTATTGTCTTTGGATAATAGAAAAAGAAAATTAAAACAGTTTTAATGTTGGTATTTAAAAATCAGTGTTAATACAGCTAGGGAGCTCTTTGAAGGGATCTTTGCTTTGATGAAAATTCACAGCACCTCTTTGAAGAACCTTGGTAAGTGTGACAACCCCCACTTCTGAAGAGCGTCTCCCATCAGAGCAAAGAGCCAGATGAGGTGCATTGGCCCAGCCCACATGCTTCACAGAGGCATAGCAACTCACCTCCATATTCAAGCAGAGTGACACATCTCTGCAAGGCAAGGCAAGGCAGATCATCGGCCATCCGCAGAGGCCCAATTTTTAATGTAGCTTTCAGAACTGCCTTTTAATTATAAACCGCAAAAAGACTTCTCTATAGTTGGCAGTTTGTAAAATCTCACCATGGGCCGGTGGCAAGTTTGACAACCTCACCTCTATTCCTGCCTGTAAAGTGCTATCTGATGGAGGACCCAGTACATCTCTATGCCCTTGAAAAACACAGGGAAGGCAGATGGAAGTAGCAGAAGCACCATGTTCAAAAAGCAGAAATTTTCCAGGCTGTCTCATCAGACTGGAATCAAGGAACATTGATGATACTGAAAAATTAAGGACATATTAAAAAAACAAACAACTTCATTTAAGAGCTCAAATTTGAATCCTGGTGACTGTATCCATGAAGTTTTCTTGGCAAAGTTATAAAAGTGATTTCACTTTGTCTTCTTCTGGGTGTTCTTTTGATTTCCCTGACTGGCTGTAATGGTATGTGGGAATGACCTTGGGAGACAGGAGGAAGAGCTGCAGACTAGACAACTGCCATGCAAAAAGTAACTCAGTCCACAGAAGCAGAGGAGGTGTGGGGAGCATTTTAGAAGGGACCCTCCCTAGTTTTCCAGAGAGTAAAAAGGAAGGAGGGGAAAAATACTTTCAGTCAGCAAGATTGATGTTAGCTCTTCAAGGTAGTCCAGACAAGAAGCATAACAATTAATCCTTGCTCTATCTTTAAGTAAGGTTACACTAACAGAATCTTGCAAGTCTGAAAGTGTTCCTCTCCTCCTTTCCTAGCATTATCTCAGGCTTGCAAATCATGACCAAGCTTAGACTTTTCCTTACTTACAATTGATAGCATCACCCAGCCATCACTGAGGCAATAGAAAGTCAGACTTCATAACTGTTGGATGATACTATAAACAGCGTTGATTGGATGATGCTACAATCCACTAGTAAGGAAGTGGCCTTAGCTGCATTTTTAGTAGGAGTGAATAGTTGAGTGGAGCAATGCTTCACCACCCCATTTAATGTAGTTAATGATGCAACTGCTGCATTATTGAAAGAACAGATATTGTTATTATACATGTTAACAGTTCAAATACATGGCATAGCATCATGTCCAAATAGCGTAATAACCTTTTAAAAATGTCTTTTCATTGCAGTTTTTTAGCTACCCCTTAGGTTTTTGTGCCTCTTTATTTAATGATTCCAACTTTCAGCTTTACTTTGCTTCCGTGCTACATTAAGTACACAAGCTTAATTGTGGTACAAGGAAATACACAGATAAAGTGTGGAGAATTTGTCTTCGTCACTTTGAGACAGTTAATTAAACAGGCGGCTGCACACTCTTTTCTTAGCAAACAAAACCTTTTAAAAAGGATGTGACTCTTTTGTGGCACGTCAGTATAGTGTCGACTCTTTTCCTTTGCCTCTATCAGAGTGTGAAACCACTGGAAAAAACAGGCACATCCCTTGGCAGAGTTAGTGGAGAGATTGAATCAGGCTTCCCCAGCTTGAGATCCTCTAGTTATGTTACAGTTCTGTCCTGGATGGGAATTGCAGGGCCCAGTTGGAGAAATCTGGATAAAATGAGTGCTTCCCTCTGAAAGAGAAGCATTATCACCAACATCACAAGCATTATCTGTCCTAAGAGTGTATATGAGCAGATGTTTGGATTTTGTATCTAAAAGGCTGCTAACTTGATCACATTAACTGTTATGTTTGGTAAGCTAAAGGAAAATCTTATCCAAAGTGGGATAGGACTATGTGGTATAAATCTTCTTGGACACTTGGTCAAGTACAAGAAGCAAAGGATGAACATGTAGTTAATTAAATTAATTATTTTGTCATTTAAAAGGTAACAAGGCTCTTTGGCTAAGAGATATTTATCAAAACGTTGCCTAAAACCTAACTAAAATATCCCTGTACTCATCTCTGTTTCAGAATTGTGGGAGATAGCTGATTATTTCTCTCTCTCTCTCTGTGTCTCTTAAAGGTTTGGGGATTCAAGATAAGTAACACATCTTTCAGTAACACATCCCTGCCAAGGAAATTGGTGAGTAGGATTAATGTTTCAGTTGTTCAAGTGTATAAGGGGAAAAAGCCTTGCTGAGAAAGAATCACACTCACTTGATGAACAAGGATGTTGAAGAAGAGGAATAATTTTATTACAGGTGTTGACAGACATGAAAGAATGTAGCTTGATTCATACATAGCTGGCATTTGTTTATGTTTGGGTTCGTATGGTGTGTGAATCCAATTCAGTCCATATTCCCAGTGCAGTGGAGACAGTCTTTTTAGTTTCAAACTAAGGTTGGGTTCTACACAAATGCTACAACAGCTGGGGTGGGGGGACATGTGTTCACACAGTCCCAAATTTGTCCCAAGATATAATCTTTCAGCAAATTAAAAGTCAAAGCTGATGCAACCATTTTCATTTTTAAAAGTGTCTCTTACCTCCTCAAACAGGCCAAAAATGTTTACCCCTCCCAAATCATGAGACCATCCCATTATTGGAGGATGGCCCTGTAGGTCTCACCCGAAGTATAGCCCCCTGTCTGAAAAAGAGAGCTTGCCCCTGCATTAAATCATGAATTATTTTAAACTGAGTTGTTGAATCAGTCAGAGTAGGCTTAATGCAGTGTATAAATACAGTCTAACATGGGGGCACAGCCATGTGTAAAAATGGTATTCTTTCTTTAATAAAATGCTGGGTTATGAATTGTAATACCTCCATTAGTTCATTTTCAGAAATTATAAGACAGCGTCCCTCTGCATGCTGTTCTATAAAATATCAGATTAAATTAATATTTGCTGACATTTCTAGTGGCTGTTATGTTAAAGCCAATTCAAGAGAAGCAGAACCATAAGCTCCATTCACCTTTTGCACTGAACTGAGTTCATTGAAATTTAAGAATTGATATTTAAATTTAAGAATCAATGCTGGAATGCATTTTTCTCCCTCTTCCTTCCCGATTCTTGCTTCCTGTTGTGTTTTATCTTTTAGATCATTATTTTCCAGACAGGAAGGTCTCTTCCTCCCTCCCAACTGATTGTAGAATCAGTTGGCCAAAGAGAAGGATTTAAAAATGCTTTAAATAAATAAATAAATATCCCGCTATAAGAACATTGGCTAAACTGGAAAGCAAGATCTATAAACATACTTGGGAGATAAATGTGGTTGGACTGGCACTGAGGCTGACGGATGGAGTGCTAGAGTTGCTCTGTCTACACTGTACGATCCCTTATCCTCAGGCTCAAGAAGTGATGAAGTACAATCACTCCTCCCAGGCTGGCTTAACACAAAGGCAGAAGGAATCATCATCTCTTAATGTACAGTTTTGTTCTCTCAAATTTGAACCTTAAGAGGAATTCTTGTCTTTTAGCCTGCAGAAGAAACTCACTCCTCTTATTTAGGCATATTGCATTCTGGAAGTTTTGTGTGGGGCGGGGGCAAGTCCTCCAAGAAATTTCCACAAGCTTTGCAATGTAGAAGCATCACTATTCATTTCCCAGTTCATTTTTCCCAAACTTATGAGAAACTGGATGCTGATAAAAACGCCACCTTTGATTATTGTGGGAGAAATAAAATGCAAGTCCCAGGTCTTTTCTTCCACTCTACATTTGAGTAAGTGGGCATTTGCTCTTACAAGAGGAAATTAAATGTTAGCCTTCATGCAGGCTGAATAAATCTGTGTTATTTAGTGCAGCAGAAAAATGATATTCCTGCGTGCTGCCTGGGGGGTTTCTACTTACCTGCCTTTTGTGACTCTGTTCCTGTCTTCCCTGACTATGGAAATCCTCATGTTATCCAATCATATCCTGAAAAATTGGTTCTGGTTACACTGCAGTCAATTGGGATTCAGCTGGCATTGCTCCCCTGAACTTTACAGATAGTCTACCGTTTAGTCCTTAATGGTCACAGATTCTGTATCTATTGTGTATGTGTCTAAAGGTGAGTGAAAATCAAGGTTGCTCTCTATAGTGTATTTTCCCACCTAGACTGTAAAGACTTTGTTAAGACTCCTTTGAACTTAAAGCTTTAAGCTAATGGAGAGGTCACACATTGAGAGTTTCAGAGGAGAAGCCGTGTGGATTTGATAATCAACCCGCTACAAGCCATTGCCTTTGCAGCAAAGCCGAGTATCCTTGGAGAGGCTTTGCTTTTGATGGACAACTTTCTCAGTTAAGCATCTTTATCCCCCATTTCCCCCAAGTGTGGCAGGAAAGATACTTTACCATATCTGTTGTAAATCTGTTCTGGCTCATTTTCTACTTTTGGCTGTGTAGATTTAAATAATATTAAAATGGCAAAGACTCGTGCCAAACTCGATTCCTGGGGACTGCAGGGTCCAGCGGGAGGGAGAGGGGCTGGATCAAAATCAGCAAGATGGTAAAGAGAACACCATGATGCAAGTCCTGCCCCTTTTGAACATGCATGCCATGTGTGGGAAAGAAGCAGGGCTTGCATCACTGCATTCTCTTTGCCATCTTGCTGATTTTGGCCCACACATCCTTGAACACTGCTGGCTACATGGGCATGTCCATATCATTTTCTTGGCAATAATATGAAAGCAGCCTGGCCTAGTCTACTGCTCTGGGGTTACTGGGAGCCTTACATATAGGTATTTCCCGATCTGTACTTGTTTGCGTCCATGGCAAAAACTGTCTTTTGTGCCTTAAGATAATTTCGGGATCTGGAGGTTACATTCAATAGGGCTGAGCCAGGAAAGTCTCAGAGATTCCAGAGAAGTAGAGCATGGTGCTTGTAAGAGGAAGACAAGAGGGGCGCTGTAAAATAGGCAGGCCATCACATTAGAGGTGAACATTCAAATGTAAAACTGCATGAAGCATAAGAGAGTTTTCTGAAATGCAAAGACTGAAAAGGAAATTTACAGCAGGGGGAGCTAGAAGACAAAGCCAAGTTTCTGCAGTTTTTATACATGTTTATCACTACTGTACAAATTTCCATCTTGGCTATTTTAGGCTTAGGCTTTAGCTTAACTAAATTATGGTAAATGTCACTTATGTAATGACCACTGGGTATTACTGGTAAACCTCTGCATGGGTCTTTTGGCTGATGAAAAAATGCCAACCCGATGCCCATTTTTTAAGTGTAGTCTTGCTGTTAAGTGTACTGTTTCTTATTTATCAAGGCAAACTTCTCAAGAGTGGTGAAAAATAATCTCCATTTGCCTTTTGATTCTGATTCTTTGTAATAGAGTCCACTGTCATAGAGTGGATGAATCGTGTGGTTTTATACACAGCTCACTACAGGTTTCAAGTCAATGTTAGCATGACGAGCGCTGAGGGTTGTGGCAGCTTGTGGCATTTGTGGAGGAAACTCCAAGCCCTAACAGAGATTCAAGGCCAGTCCAGATTTGCTGGGAACTGGTATGGTGTCAAAAAGGCCTTCTGCCTTTTTAGATGGAAAGATTCTGAAATACCCACAAAAGAGGGTATTGGTGAAGATGACAGAATTTGCAGAAATGGCAACGTTGATTTGTTTGATTAGGGAGAAGACAAGTAGTACATGTATTAGTGATTGGAAACTCTTTATGGACTTTTTGGTGAAAATGGAAAAAAATGAATTGGTGACTTATGGATTTGATGATTAGAAAGGACAGAATATGGAAAGAATGATATAATCTTAAAGTGGGACGATAGGTGATAATTTGTAACCACTGTAAAGAATATCAGAAGCTGCTTCTTTGTATATTTTTTTTCTCTATTTCTCTATTGACTTTCTTTTTTCACTTACTTGTTTTTACCTTTCTTCACTCTTTTTCTTTTCTATAGATTTATACTGTATGTTTGTCTTTTATTATTGTAAAAAATCTTTTAATAAAATCTTTTAATAAAATTTATATTAGAAAAAATGCCTTCTGCCTTTTTGACCATGCTCATTCAGTTGCATGGGGAAAAATGTTTTCCAGGAAAAAGCAAATTTGGGGAAATTTCTCCTAGTACAATGCAGGGATCTTATAAGTAGAGGTAGCTGAGAAGTGTGCCTATGTAGATGCCCTGTCTTTCATCCTACCATCCTCTTTTTAGAGGTCTTTTGTCTCCTTCCCATTCTTCAACTGAGTCTTAAAGGAAGACTTCATGAGGGAAGTTATTTTGTGGGAAGGAGTGTCTTTAGATCAGTAAAAAAGTAGAAAATCAAAAGCCTTTTTTCCGGGGGTGGGGGAATTTTCGAGAAACTAGAAGACAGACTTCACAAAAGGTTTTGACCCCAAACAGCTGTGCTCCAAACTGGTTAGCTGGGTCTGGCTGCTCTTTACAATTTCCCACAATGGCTCAAAGTGATGCTAGATCATGGGTACTATGGGAAAGTAAAGGTTCTGGGTCAGAACAGAGATATATACTTCACTGTGCCAGGTACTAATGTTAGTCTTGTATGGAGCAGTTGACAGAAAATCAGTTTAGTAAATATTTGCGGTGATAGCCAATGGAACCTCAGTAAAAATAAGACTTTGGCAACAAAAGGCTCTTCCATTCATGTTTGGTTTTATGAACATCTTGCTGGAAAAATATACAAACAACCATGGATTCTTGCTGTAATCCATCAGGGTTCTACTTGTCAGGTTCAGCCGGCGTGGCACTGCTAGGAACTTGCCCAGCCGCGCTGAGTCAGTTCTACCGCCCGCTCGCAAGCCCGGGAAAAGAGGAAGTGAAAGAGGAAGCCGTGGCTGATTAACGAGCCACCTGCGCCCGCTTAACAAGAAACCGCAGAGGGGATGTTTTGTATCCACTCTGATTAGCTGCGAGCGCTGAGACAAAGGACTAAGCCGCGGCTTGCGGAAATGCGATCAGCGCGCGATTGGGAAAGCCCTGGCTTTGCGTGCAATTGAAAGGACCCAGAGGAAACACGAGCATGCTGGTGGGGCAGAGCAATCAGTGGACAATGAGAACTGGGCTGAACGTGCCATTGGAGTAATAGGGGGGATTACTGGGGCAATCGGTAATCTGCAACCCGCAATATGTAATTTAGCAACGGGGATAAGTGCGGGAAGGGGAGAACTATAAACTGTATCATGAAATGTGCGAAGCCAGTCCTGGCTTTGTTTGTAACTGCTGTGTTACGCTTGAGTAAACTTCTTTGTTGAACACACGTGTCATGAGAGTTTCTCTAGACGAACGGGGTAAACCTTATACTACTAAGGCTCTTTTGAATAGAGGAAAAAGGGAAATACAGTGGTACTTCGGTTCATGAACTTAATTCGTTCCGTGACTCTGGTCGCGACCCGAATTGGTCGCGACCCGAAAGGGGAGAACTATAAACTGTATCATGAAATGTGCGAAGCCAGTCCTGGCTTTGTTTGTAACTGCTGTGTTACGCTTGAGTAAACTTCTTTGTTGAACACACGTGTCATGAGAGTTTCTCTAGACGAACGGGGTAAACCTTATACTACTAAGGCTCTTTTGAATAGAGGAAAAAGGGAAATACAGTGGTACTTCGGTTCATGAACTTAATTCGTTCCGTGACTCTGGTCGCGACCCGAATTGGTCGCGACCCGAATCAAATTTCCCCATAAGGTTCAATGTAAATACGGTTAATCTGTTCTGACCCCTCCGAATTTGGTCGCCAACCGTTTTTGGTCACGTCCTGAATCAAATTTCCCCATAAGGTTCAATGTAAATACGGTTAATCTGTTCTGACCCCTCCGAATTTGGTCGCCAACCGTTTTTGGTCACGTCCTGAATCAAATTTCCCCATAAGGTTCAATGTAAATACGGTTAATCTGTTCTGACCCCTCCGAATTTGGTCGCCAACCGTTTTTGGTCACGTCCTGAATCAAATTTCCCCATAAGGTTCAATGTAATTACGGTTAATCCATTCTGAACCATATTTTTTTTAAAACCACAAAAATATGACACAAAGTACAGCACGAAGAGAGAGAATGCTAACCTTGCTCGACGCGACTTCTGGCGTGGAGGACAGGAAGGGTGGGGAGGCGGTTATTGCTTGGAGGGGGAGTCGCCCTCCCTACAGGAAGCCACGACCACGTGTCACGGGAGGGAAAATGGCCGTGGATCCTGTTCGTCACCTGATCCGGCGTTTGCGAACGAAGGCAAAATTTTGTGAACGGAGCTGTTCATGACCCGAATTGGTCATGAACAGAAGCATTCGTGACCCGAGGTACCGCTGTACTAAAGATCTCCTGGGTAAAGATATTCCTGGGTTCTTTGGTGTTGTGGAAAAACTGCTCACTGAGTCATTGACATCTGATCCTGCAGGAGAGATTCAACAATTGCTGCTAAAGAAGCTTCTAATAAGGAAAACTTTCTCTTTACTTGTTGGTATACTTTAATTGGTTAAAGGAATATATTTCTTCAACACTGGCACCTGGCTCACAATTAGCTTTGGATTAGGTATTTAATTATTTGCTAGCTTGCCCACAGAGGGTCTCTTTGCTATGTGCACCCAACAGGCAAACTGATGTGTTGAGCAAACATCAGAATGCAGTCAGCAGAGAAGTTTGAGACGGTTAGTTTTAACCTAATACTGCACTGTGGTTGTTTAGGGCTGTTGTGCACACACAAAACAGATGTTTAACTTCTACTGCCAGCAGGGCTGGGGTGTCTGCAGAACATGATGAAAAAAATCAAGATGGTGGCTGTGACAGGGCAACTAAAGCTCTGCCTGTTCTTGATGTGTGATGCCCGAAAAAAAAGTAGAGTTTCAGTTGCACTGTTGCAGTTGCCATCTTAACTTTTTTTTTTTTTTTACCACACCCCATGATCCCCCCTGCAGCTTGGAGAAGAGTACACAAAGGAGCCTGCAAAAACACAATGTGTCTAGGAACTCTCCTTCTTTTACTACTTCCCCACTGCCATACTGAAGAGAGAGCTGCAAGGGGTGTGGTAGGTAAGTCTCTCCAAATTCCATCTGCAGTGGCTTAAATTTTTATTTTCTTGTTCCCAGACTTTTTTTTTTTAAAGGCAAGATGAGAGTGATTCTCAGGGACCTGTGACTGGGCTTCTACAAAAATTGTTGCTCCCAGTTTGACTGGGACATCCCTGGCCATTTGCTGTCAGCTCAATGAAGGAGATAGACTGGTTCTGTAATCATGGGAACCTAGCATTCAAAAAGGCCCCTTGTTTTTTTATTCAAAAAGTCAGGCTGAAGTTTTGCACAAGGAATATAAAGAGGCAGAATATTACATTCTCCTTGTGGTCCCTCCCCCCGCATCTATTTTAGTTCTTTTCCTAGTTAAAAAAAAAACATTTGTACTGTTGCAGCAATGAGAATGGGTTTGCTTGCACAGCATTTGGACGCAGTTGTGGATCCCCAAGATTGCAACTCCCTCTAATGGATCAGGGTCTTTTCAGCAAAAACTGATCCCAAAGGAATTTACTTTTATCTTTAAGACTGAGCAGGGTTTCCCACTGGGCAGACAAAGCAGCCTGCCATAAGCAACAGATCTGAGATTGCAATTATTATAACTGCAAATAATATAATGTTACTATTCCTATTTCGATGTATGTCCCTCCTTTTGGCCTATAACAATATGCCAATAACATGGTATGTCTATCAGAAATAATAAATGTTCAGTTCTTTAGTTTGGTGTATTTTTAACATTCTGTTAGGATATTTTTTATCTCAGAAACCAAAATGTCTTTCAGTGTTTCTGGCTGGGTTCATGTATTGTGCTAAGCCCTTGGTTTGTTTTAATCATAGTTTGCTGAATAAACCACACTTTGCTAGGTCACACTGCTTTAAGTCATGGTTTGAAAACGACAAGCTTAGCCCAAACCAAACTACATTTGCATACAAATAGATTTTTGAATTATAAATCTGATGAGATTTCAGAAGAGCTCCTGGGTGACAAAAGACCCAACTCCCATTGCCATTTCTCAATAGGTAACTTTGGTGTGGGGTAGAAGATACCCTGAAAAGGAGTCCTAAAGGTGGGTATTAAAAAAACTTGGCAACAAGTGATAGAGATGTGATCTAGGATAGGGGTTTTCCTGTATGTGAAAAAGTGTGAGATGCTGGATCTAACCACGTTAGAAGCCATATAAAATGCAATTAGGCTCAGCAACAATTCTCAGACACCCTATTTTATATGGCTTAACTAGGCTTCTAAGTTCAAATCCTCTCAGGCACTCAACACAACTAGAGAAAGGAATCTCTTGCAAGCTGTGACTACTTTAAAGTAATGACACACATTATGACATTGTTGTGCAAGTGATATACCACATGCATTAGTCACATCATAATGTCTGGCATGAATGCCCAAGCTGTATCACTTGCATGATGACATTAGGATGCCCCTGCCATTTTTTCTCTCTGATCTCCCTGGTGACTAGATAAGAAACTATATGGGAAACTAGAATGCATTATGAGAAATAGTTGATTGCCCTGTCTGGGTGAGGGTGCAATTCCCTCTTATATCCATAGCAGTTTAAACTCATTGCTTTTTTGCTTGTCTTTTCCACATCTATTTAATTCAGTAAATTTTTGTAGGCCACCCATCTCATATATATGATTCAGGGTGACTCACAATTCAGAATAAAACAGTAAAAAAGACAAGAAGAGTTAAAAACAACAAAAATGACATTAAAAATAGCGGGCAAGAAAACTCACAAAAACTTTGCCTTATGGCCTTAAAGTTGAACAATTCTGTTTGTGGACATAATTGCCCTGAGAACTTCTGGCTGTTGGCTTCTCTCTTATATTCAGAAATAGCCAGCTGCAGTCAGCTCTGCGATAATAATAATAATAAAACCTTGGTTTCTTTTCCTCTCATTCTCCTCTGCATCAAGAGGAAGGTCTTATATGTGTACATTCTGGTTGAAGAATGGGTTACAAAATTCTGGATGCCCACAGAAAACTCTAAAGCCTTTGCTTTCCTCTAGTGGTTGGCTGGATTTTGGCAGGCCAGATGTGGTGGCCAATACTGGATGAAATCAATGTGAAGGAAATTCTTCCTTCTTTGACAATGACTTGCAACTGCTTGTAAACACAATACATTATGTCAGCGTTTCTCAACCTTGGCAGCTTGAAGATGTGTGGACTTCAACCCCATGCTGGCTGGGGAATTCTGGGAGTTGAAGTCCACACATCTTTAAGCTGCCAAGGTTGCATTATGCAGTGGCAGAGCACCCTTCCAGGGAGGATTGAACAGTGGAGTAAGGGGCCCTTGTTCTACAGTGCCAAGTCCTGTTAGGTTCTACCACCTAGGACTCAGAAAGAATCACAGAACGGATACTATGATACTGCATAGCTTACTTATTTCCTTGGCTAGATTTGGCAGAAGACTTACCACCCAGGCTTGGCTTGGTGAGAATCTTTATTGCAGACAAAAACAATGCCATATACAAGAGTTGATTTCCCAGAACCAGTGATGTCAGGGCCTCTTACAGCCAAAATGTTCAAACTCATTGTTTTTGCTTCCTGCTTTTCCCACACACAATGTAATAGGCTCTTGGCACAGAATGTGATAGCCTTGAAGCCAATGAGTTGTTGCATGTTTCCATGATTGTGATCTCTCATTTAGAAGCACTTGGCTCCCACCTCAACCCTCACATGTGCTGCCTCTGACCTCTGCTAACCTTGTTGATGAGGATGAACAGGGAGATGGTCTCTGGGGTATTCTGGACCTAAACTTTTGGTAGTGATTCTCCATCCATTGGTGATGTCACACTCCACAAATATAACTGACAGGTAGAACTGTCATCGTGTGGAAGTCGGAACAAAATTCTCTGATTTTTGCAGGCCTAGAATAAAAATGATCTGATTTATTCAGTTAATCATCTTGTTTTTAGAAGGTGCAACTGGGCAGATTGATGGCCACTTTACATCCTGAAACAGCCTGAAACATCTGTGCCCATTCTAACCTCAGCTGCTATGTGTAATAGGGGCAGGCAGAAAGCTGATTTGGATCAATGGGTAGGTTTTGGAACCGTGATAAGGCACAATGACAACAGCAAAGTACCTCTTTGTCCCTGACCTGCCTCCTAGTAAAGTAAAACACAAGAAAACTGTAGCCAAGCCCTATCAGTAGAATGAATCAAAGGCCTCTGGTGACAAATAATGAGAAACAGTTCAGTTTTTATGGACAGAGTGGTGGCATTGTTGCTGATTGTTGCTCTTCTCAACTATGATGAAGGTTACTGATAGCTACTGTTCTGCTGAAATCACAGAAATCAATTTACCTATCATTCTAGTTGGCTTTTGAGAGCTATTTTATCTGCCTCAATATTTTGGGCTAATCTTGAGGTTTTACAACATCTGATCTCCTATCTTAAATTTAAAGCTATATTGAGAGAGAGAGAGAGAGAGATGATAGATGATAGATATACACACACACATACACACACACACACATATATACACACACACACACACACACACACACACACACACACACACATATATACACACACACACACACACACATATATACACACACACACACACACACATATATACACACACACACACACACACATATATACACACACACACACACACACATATATACACACACACACACACACACATATATACACACACACACACACACACATATATACACACACACACACACACACATATATACACACACACACACACACACACACACACACACACACACACATACATACGTTTGAGGTGCAACAGATGAATGGTCCTATCCTTCAGCCACCAGAGAATGTTAGCCAAATTTGTCAATAAAATAAACAGTTCCAGAATCAACACTTGGATACATCTGCCAAACCCTTGGAGGCTGGCAAACTCAGGAAACAAGAACCACTTGGATTTCTGGAATGTTCTTTATGGTTAGTAGGATAATGTAACAGAATCCTGAAAGCCTGCCACAGCAGTTTTCCAGATCAACTTATACCTAGTGTAATTAAAGCCAGAGTTATTCTGAGTTTCTTCTGTACACTTCCCTCCGTCCCTGGACTAAGGAATCTTCCCTATAATGGTCCTCCTCCTTCCTCTGCTTTCCCAGGAGTCTGCTAGACAGTCCTTCCTTATACATTTGTTAAGATCAATCTATCTATCATAGAAGTGTGTGCAGGCTTTTGAATCCTCCAAAATTGTTTCTCAGACAATCTCATATAAAAATGGGAAATGGGGAAGAAGCAGATGTCTAGTATTTTATCAATCTCTTCTGACCTGACTATAGTCTTCCTTTGATAAAAAGGCAATGAGTTATTTTTGAGACTCCAGATTGTGCAGAATACTTACTTAGTTGGCAATAGTTGGTATTTCATGTATCAGCCTATCATCTGGGATTTTTATTTAAACCAGAGAAATGTAAAATATATGTGTGTATAAGGCTGAATGTTTGTCTATATAGAAAATAATACATGCTGCATCTAATGAGAATAATTATAAGCAATCTAAACATATGTTCCTCTAAAACGCTGACTTGTAAACTCAAAGTACTGTGATTTCTGTATATCTGTGGAAATTATGGTTTAATTTGCCTTGCTGAGACTTTGGCTTTGAATATTGCCTTTAAATCATTCCGCACTGCAGACTCCAAAATTATGGATGTTTATGCATTCATTTCCCCCCTGATTTGAATAATTGTGGTTACCAAGCAATGCTGTAGCCTTTACTTTAGTTACTCATTAGACATAAATGTAGCTGACTAGCAAATAGATTTGAAATTGATCTTAAACTTCATCTGGTATTTTAATAACAAGAAGAAACATATGTACAGTAATTTTAAAGCACTCTTGCAAACAGCTGGCTCCCTTGACTATTTCTTTTGGCACTGCTGCAATATGTGTTTCACATTTCCAAAGGACAAAACCTATTTCCAAGTGAGGCATTGTAATGTCATACTTGAGGGCTTCCATCTATGGTTCCCTTACCTAAAGGTAAGCCACACTGAATTCAATTAGCTTATTTCTGAGTAGACATTTATAAAATAATTGCATTGCACACGCTTCTATCCTTACACCTCTTACCCTCAGTTGTATATACTCTAGGAACATTAAACAAGCCAATGGATTAGTGTGATGTGTGAATCCAGTAATATACCCAATTTACAAACTGGGTAGAGTCATGGAGACAGTGGGAAAGGTCTTCAGATGGAATCAGGATCAGAATTAATAAAGTAAATGCATACATATACATTCAAATTCAAACATTCTCACAAATCACACTCATACATAAGTGTACATTCATATACTCAAACATATTGACAAACATACATATGCACACAGTCAAGCCACTTTCAAGTCAACCTCCATACTTGGTGACTTCATGGACACCCACATAAAGTTGTTCTTGACAGCAGTACAGAAGTGTTCTGCCATTCTCTTCTGGGATGTTATTTCAAACTTCCTAGTCTACTCTTCTGCTCTGGAACCTCCTGATGGTCTCCCAACTAGGTACTAACCAGGTGCAACCTTGCCTAGCTTTTCAACATCAGCCAAGGTCAGCTAGGGGCTGCCACGGCTGAGCTTCAGATATATTAAGGGATGAAGGGGGGAGTCAGGGATGGGGTATATAGGATAAGGTCACCCTGATAGGTTACATGCTGCTTGTGGCCATACTATCTGTACACCTTTACTAACTCATAATGTGGCTTGTTGGGTTTTGACTTGCATGTTGTGTGAATTAGCCAGTTGTGGCTTAGTTAACAAAACTTAGCTTAGCATGGTGTGGGAAGCCTGTCATAGCATTGTACAAAAGAGGAGGATGCATTATATATGCTGCCTTGATCTCCTAACTTTTATCCCCTAAAGGAGGGATAAAAAACCTAATAAATAAATAAATAAATACTCCCAAGTCTGGGGCTTCCAGATGCATTGGGACTACAACTCCCAGAAATCCCATGGAATATGGGAATTCTGGGAGCTGCAGTCTCAACATGTCTGAAGGCCCCAGACTGAAAAGGCTGGGTTTGAGGTATACGGAGTGAACAATTGAATTGAATTGTTCAATTCAATGAACACTGAAGATGAGGAAAGCTGTAATAGATAAGTGTTCTTTTCTCACCCAGGTATCCCTTACTCACAAGTTCACTATGTAAACCTCCCTCTGCTTTTTCTTGTTTCTTTACCCAGCACAATACCACCTCAGCTTTAAAAATATTCTGAACAACTGAGCTGCCATTCAGCTATTTGGCTATTATGGAGCTGGATTTTACTTCATTTTCAGAAGTAGAAGAGAAACAATTATTGGGTTAATTTTTGTTCCCTGCAAGCCTTGGCAGAGTCCTGAATGCCACACTCTGTACTGGGTAGGGATAAATTTGTATATATGAAGATTACCCACATACTCTGTTAATTTCAGACTATTTACCTCAAACAAATATAACTTCAAACAGTCACATTTTTCTTTCTCATATTTTAACTGAAGACTTCATGGAAATGCAAAGTTAGTAATTAAACTTCAGTTGCTGAATAAAGATATTGCCTTAATTTGGATTTCAGTTTTTTTCTGGCCATCATCATCATAATTTGTATTTCACCTTTATTTGTACTGCTCACAGTGGTGTACATAACATTCTCTCCTCCTATTTTCCCCACAAGAACAACCTATAAGGTAGGTGGCTAATTTTGCTTCTCATTGTTTTGGAAAGGGAAACAGTGATTGATATTTCCAAGTGACTCTTTTGTATGACTGCTGCAGAGAACATTTAAGCCCCAAGGGGCAATATAGTAAAATGCAGAGGCCAACATGATCTTAGGAGGTGATCTGGAGAATGGCTCACTGGTACCTGTAACAGAGAAACTGTATGCCTTTCTTCACTGGTACTTGATTACAACATAAACATATCCTGGCAACTTTTTTTTTTTTGTGGGGTCCCCATGAAGCCTCCTTCATGCCATCTGCAGCCCACAAGTGAAACAGATCATCCTTCACTGTTCTGGTATTATCCCAATAACATCCAAGGGCAGCCCCATGGTGTATAAAATATCTTTTTTCGCCCATTACCTTTGAGGAACTCAGGTGTCTGCAACAAAGGCAGAAGATCGTTCTTTGCTGATTCAAGGATGGTCGGATAGCATTGTAACCCAGCAGTGGAGAAAAGCCCGTTGAGATAAAGTGAGAATACAGGAACTTGAACAGACACAAGAGGAACACACACGACATCTGCAGTATAATTTTATTTCCAGAAATATTTTCAGTTTAAAAACAAAAAGTTATGTTTCAATCTTGAAACCAGCAAGACTGATAAATTCATCCCCACAGCAACATGGAGCTTCCCACCAAACATAGGCATGTTAAGAATGCCAATCCTACTTTTAAACTAAGCTTTTAAGAAGTCAGATAGAATATGTCTTTGTACATTTTCTAAGCACCAAGCCCCAGCTAGTTTAATGGGGTTACTCTCAAATCAGCATTCAGAGGATTGCATTCTATATACAGAGAAATTGCTTTATAATAAGAAATACTTAATGCACTACATGAAGCATGAATTGTGCTTTGTAACAGTTTGAGGAAACGAGTTATTACTCCAATGTCTTTGCTTAGCATGATTTCATGGCTGTGCTGGATAGTCCCATTTGTTTTCTGATTTTGAAAAGTCACTTTCACAACTACAACTGGGTTCTGCGTGACACAGAATGTTGGTAACAATATAAGGTCTGGTCAGCTACACTGAGTGATATGTTGATCAGTCCTAATAAAACTGTCTATCAATATAGCAGTGCCCTCACCCCAGAGGAGACAGAAAGCCATTTAAGCAGATTACCTCACGCTAACCTTATAAATGTAAAATTACTACAAGCCAACCTTTAAGCAGCTTGTTTATTGAGCTTTTTTTTTTATTAATCTTACTGATTCTGTTTCAAAATTTGATTATTGGAAATTTGGAACAGTCATACTTCTTGAGTGTTCCTATTCTTGGAACATTTCCTAGCAAGTAATTGTTACTACACAATTCATCTTTTTGCTGACAAACCCCACCTGTTATTTATCTGGCTTTTTAAAATTGTTGGAATACCAATCAACATTAAAGCTATCCTAAAACATGTTAAAGAGAACAGAGCCCTTTACTCAAGCCAGTATAAATGTTGAAAGCGTATATCATACTGCTGAAGACCATAAACTAGAGTTAGAGTTACAAACATACCTGGGAAGCTGAAGCAATCTATATGTATGGAAAATCTGAATATTTAGAGAATGTACAAAAACTAGGTCTCCATTTCAGTGAATTTCCAGTGTACAAAGAAATATCCCACAGAGATACTTTCTTCATTTAACTGATGGAAAATAACTTGGGAGCTTTGGAGTAGAACCAAAGCTGGCAAAAGAAATAATTTCAGTGATGACACAATTTTAGTTAGGAGTTACACAAATGTTTTTGGTGGCAATAACTTAGTTGTCTACTCAAGTGTCTAGCAGCTAAATATAATCTCAACAGGACCAATTTCCAATCAATTAATTTTGGGGATGGGGACCCAGGAACGGTAACCAGTGGATAGAGTTCATGAGAAACATTTCATTGAAATAACTGGCTACTGAATCCCAAATTACTGAAATAATCTATGGAGGATTGTAGAAATATCTTCAGTGAACACTAGTTTATCATTACTGATGTGTACAGTGACAGAACATGACTTATTATCAAACATACATTTATGTTAACTTTATAGATATCTAAGAAAATACAAGGAATCCTACAACTCTCACAATGAACATTTATATATTTATATGGAAATCAACTCCCACTGAATTCAACAGGGCTTGCTTCCTTATAAATGCACCGGTGGGGAAACAGTGGAATCGAACATTTTCAAGAAAAGCATAACAGAAGAAAAAAATATACATACAAAATGGACTTTTCAGCTTTATAAGTTCAAAGACAGCAGAACAAAGCAAAGTTTGGTCCAAATGATATATGAAACTTCTACAAAGGGTATGAATATATTTTCATTATCTTTGCAGGTCTCTACGCAGAAGTCCTGTTTTTCCCTCTGTAACACAAAATCCCTTGCAAAGTGAACTTGTCATCGTAGTGGCAATTTCATTCCACAATATAATGTACCAATACAGAATATCAAAATAAATACAGGATCTACTCATTAAATTCTATATGAATCCAGTAGTTTCTTTAATCAGCTATTAGACTGGGTCTAAGCATTTAAATATTGTTTGGTCATTACAAAACCATGTAGAAGGTGGTACTAGCACCTTCTTGCTAATTTATTTATCAGCAAAACTGAAGAGTTTTACTGGACAAAACCTTTCAGGCCAGAGATGTAGAATCAAATGCTTCTGCATGCAGAGAGAAGCCTAGCATATCAGAAAGTAATTAGTTTTTTTTTTCTCTCTCCCCTAAAGAACACTGGTTTAGCAAGGGGTTAATTTAAACATGTAATTGATTATCCACCTGTAACCTGAACTGGTAACATCCAGATTTTTTTTTCTCTTCAGAGAGAGAGAAAGAGGGAGGGAGAGATCTCCTGTGTAAATACTGGGTTCATTTAAATGGGTTCCAAAGAAATTTAACAATATTAAATTTAAAAAGGCAACTAGGCTACCAATTGGTAAAAATAACACAGTTCTGTCCAGTAGCAACAGTAGTTTGCATGAAACTAGTTGCATTTTCAGCTATCTCTGAAACATGCATCAGCAAATGAATTCTGTCACTTGATTCTATTGCAGTGTTTCTCAAACTTGGCAACTTTAAGATGTGTGGACTTCAACTCCCAGAATTCCCCAGCCAGCCATGCTGGCCGGGGAATTCTGGGAGATGAAGTCCACAGGTCTTAAAGTTGCCAAGTTTGAGAAACACTGCAATAGAATCAAGTGACAGAATTCATTTGCTGATGCATGTTTCAGAGATAGCTGAAAATGCAACTAGTTTCATGCAAACTACTGTTGCTACTGGACAGAACTGTGT